ATCTAAACTCCTAGCTTCCGCAGCTTTGGCCCTAGTATGTGCAAGAAATATGTTCAATCCAATGGCTGGGAAGATCCCATTCCTTCATTTGTGCACTTACTGGGCTCGAAAAATGTTTTTTTTATACAAAAATTAGATGTATTGATATAAATAATGTGGATTTATTTTAGTAGGAATTTTTAAAAAATGTTAAACTATATGATATAAAATTCAATAGTTACCAAACATGACTTTTATTTTTATTTTTAAATTTCTTAAAATAACAATCGTAACCAAATAAGTTTTCCGTTACAACTTTTAACAGCAAAAAAAATAAAAATAATTTTTTTTAAAAAACACATAAGACTGAAAACGCTGCCCAACGTAACTATAATTTATAAATAAAATACATAATGATCGAGGAAAAATGGACACCATTACGGGTGAGTATAGACAACCAAAACTTAGTGGGCGACGGTGACGCGAACATAATAGGTTGATATTTGGAGAGTTAAATTGGAGCCCAGCCTTACCTAGCAATTCTCCCCTTGTAACAATTCGGCTACCGAGCAGAGCGTGGAAAAGAGAGAAGAGCTGAACATGTCGTACTTGCTACCACACCTTCACTCAGGGTGGGCGGTCGATCAGGCCATTCTCGCCGAAGAGGAACGCCTCGTTGTCATCCGATTCGGCCACGACTGGGACGAAACATGCATGCAGGTACTCATTACCCTGCCCCTCCCCTCTCTTTCTTTCTCCCTTCCTCTCCTTATTGTTTTTGTTTACCAAATCCTACATAACTTGATTCTATTTGTAATTCCTTTGATGGATTCGTAAATATTTATTGTTTTGGGTTGGGAAGGGTATAAAACCCTAGTTTCTTTTTATCTGGACACTATCTTTTAAACTGTTTTTAGTTATAATCACGATTCCTGATAATCATATTTTGTTTTGTATTATGTTGATTTGACGATGGTTTCTGATGTGTTCCGTACATGAATTTGAAGCTTTGGGCCTTCGTAGGTTACGAATTTAGGTCACAAATTTAGGGGAAAACCCTAGGGTTTTCGGTAGATCACTATATCTATGTTGTATGTGTATACAACTATTTATATACAGGAAATACATATATGAATAGGATGAGTTTTAGTTGTCCTGGGGATCATTTTTGTTTTGTAAACAGTTTAGGATAGAGGTTTGTTGAAATAATTTGCTTGTATTGAAACCTTAGAATATAATTGTGTCAACTGAACTAGTTCCAAGGTTGTTTGACATGTATGATAAAATGAATCTGAGGAGAGTACAACTGTGATTCGCCGAGAAGTTTTGTAAGTTTCAATTTTTGGCTTTGCTTATTTTTTGACAATTAAAGAGGAGAAACCGTGTTTTTGATAGTTTGTAGATTTCTTGTGCTTTATGCTGTGCGGATTAAGTCTACCTGATATGTACTGGGAAGCATGGACACGTCTTCCAAGCTATCCAAGTTATGCCAGAAAGTCTGTTTTATCAAATAATACCTTTCTAGATGTAGGATATTTAAGAGGGGGGTTGGTAAATCCTTTTTTGCCATTGGAGGGGTACTTAGCATCCAAATATGAGTACCATGACCTTTTCTTTTCCTTTTGGAAATATGCATAGCCACTTCATAAGGAAAGATGACTTTGAAGGCCATGATTGAAAAATTTAGACCATAAGAATATTTTCTTTTTTGGATGAACATGATTAGGTCTTATTGCATTACTTTGTTGGATTGAAATTCAAGCATTTCTATCTCAATCTTGTGGCAATTTCTTCTTTAAATCACATCAAATTTGGCTTGACATTATAAGAAGCAACTTCCCCGTAGGCTCGATTCAGTTCCCTCTTATACCTTCTATCCTATGTCTTATCACCCAGAATTGCATTCTATCAAACTTGTGGTACTTAATGGTGAATTAAAAGATTGAATTGCTTTAGTTTTCAATAACGCTCTCGCTAATTAGTCTTTTTGTACCCACCCATCCTATTTGAGAGTGATTCAATATCAATAGGGGAACCTCCTAATGAGGAAGTTCGTTCTCTCAAAAAACCATTTTTCTGTAAAGCATTTTTTTTCTTTTTGGGGCAAGAATTCATGTAGGTTTAAGAATGCACTCAATTGGGACATTCTTTCAAAACATGAAACCATAGTTGTCAAATCGGGTATCGGTGTATCGTTTTTAAAAAATAGTGTATCGTATTGTATCATGTATCGTAAGATACGTGCAATTTTAATTTTTAAATAATTATTAATAAAAAAGTCATAGACTCATAATAAAATTGCATTTCATTATATTCTACAAATTATTCAAGTTTTCAACATAGTTCAGTATTATCAAAATGCAAAGACTTTTAATTCAAACTTTTAACATCAATTACTTAAATAATCTTAATATTAATTAGGAATTTTGAATTCAATTGAACAACATTAACAACAGGCTTTATTTTATTTTTTTTAAACCATAATCACTAAAACGACGTTTCACTAGCTAGTGATTTAAAAATAAGTCATAGGGTAAGACGATGTTATTTCAATCCCAAAAAATCAAAAAAAATAAAAAATAGAATCGTCATGTATCTTGCGTATCATATCATATTGTGTGTCATACGATACGGTACAAAAATCGTACAGAGACACAATATGTATCGTTTTTTTGGTGTATCGTGATGTATCGTATGATACGTATCGTGTATCGTATGATACTAATAAGTATGCCTGAAACCATTATCTCAATTGATAGGGAGGATCAAAAAGCGATTGCATAAGTTTAAATTGAAGAATTGAATTTTATTACTTATTTTAGAGTTATTATATTATTTAGGAGATATTTGTTTTAGCAAATTTTAGTTAATGAGAGTTTGATTAAGAAACTATTTTTGAATTTTAGAGGAGAGTAATTTTTGTTTTGACCTATACTTATTAATAAAATCCCTATTATTATAATAGAGAGTAATATTAGAAGAACAGTGGAGAATTTGTATATTTCTTGACTTAATCCTTGCAAGGGTTTGATATTTATTGTTTTTTCTCCTCCTCTTTTCGTATTGTATTAATTGGAATCAGACCAAAACTCCGATCCATATCCTCTTGCTACTTCTCCAGTTTGCTACTGCTATTCATAGTCGTCGTCTTCTTCAACAACGACTTCTCTGTCACTATCGAACAAATCCATTGTATCTATTCTCTTCATTTGGGATATTTTATTCTCATTATCATCATAAATATACACTTTGCTTGCTTTAGAAGTTGAGAATCTAGCTTAAATCACTACAATAGTAGCTAGGGTAGACAACATCTAAGATCGACCCAGATTCTTTAAAGCGAACATTACTCAATTTACAGTCCCAAATCTAGCCCAAAATCATTGAGCCTAATACAAAAAAAGAGGCCCAGCCTGTTTGACTTTAACCGCAACCCAACCTAAATTGTCAAAAAATTCTAATTAAACAATCTCCTTGGGCCCCTGATTTTTATACAATCATACAATACCCCCACAACTTTCAAAAATTAAGGGCATGTTTGGTTTGCATTTCAAAAAACAGTATTCGAAAATAGTTTTTGAGAAGAGTTTTAAATAAGTTATATTGATGTTTCTGAGATAAAAAATTTATTTAGTTAGATGATTCTAAAAACAGTTTCACAAAATAAAAAACAAAAATCGTGTTTGGATTGAGAGTTTCATATAAAATATTTTAATATATTAAACTTGATAAAATACAAAAAAAAAAAAAATACCAATCTTTGTTGAAGCAGCGATCATCTCTTATCTCTCTCAAAATCTCCAAATGGCCAAATTACATAAGAAACGGTGTCCACAACAAATTGAAGAAAAAGATGTTGTATCTCCTTCAAGCTAGATGCCAAAACAAAAAAGAGATGATCCATTGTATGTATCTCCTTCAAGGCAAATGCCAAAAAAAAAAATTGAAGATGATGTTAAAATCAGATCTTGAACCCAGATGCAGAAAAAAAAAGATAGATCTTGAACCTAGTGATCGTTGAAATTAGATCTTGAACGCAGTGATTGTTGAAATCAGATCTTGAACGCAGTGATTGTTGAAATCAGATCTTGACCTAGTAATTGTTACTCTGTTGAAACAACGATCGTTGTTTTGGTCTTCGTTACTCAGTTGAAGCAGCACAGCGATCGTTGCACACACACACACACACACACACACAGAAACATTCTTTGTTACTCGGTTGGAGCAGAACAACGAGAGAGAGAGAGGAGATGGAGAAAACTTAAGTGGAGGCTTTTATACTTCGATGAAAAAAATGTGTTTTGTTGCTAATGAGGTTTGATGGGTGGATCTCATTAAAGAGTAGGGGCTATTTCCCTTGTTTTCTATTTTGCCCTGAAAACTCAAAAAATATCTAACTGATGTTCTCTAATTTTTGTTCAGAATTCTCACTTTTTTTGAAAAATTATTTTTGAAAATTGCTGTTCAAACAGCATCTCACAAAATTTTGTGTTTTGAGAACAAAAAACTGTTTTCAAAATACAAACCAAACACACCCTAAATATCTATCCCCATAAAGTTTAGAAATTAATCTTCAAAGATTTTTAAATTACATAGTTGACTATAAGTTTTCAAAATTACAATATTTCTCTAGAATTCTTTGAAGTTACATAATTAACCAAATAAGTTTTTGAAATTATAGTTTTGCCCCATAATTACCTGGAGTTTCTCAGAACACTCTTTCCATCAGGATGTTAACAAACACCGAGTCTTGCAAGGATTGAGGTATGTGGTGCTCAGATAGATTTATTCCAAGCATGAGTGGATTTACTCTAAGCAGCTGGGCATTCACTCCAAGCATCATTGAATTTAAAAGAAAGTGTAACCAAGCTAGTTGCTATATTTGGAGTTATGTTACCCATCAACAAGTGTTTGAACAAGGTAGATATTGATTTATCCTCTTCATCCATTATTCATCAACAAATGGTTGAACAAGTCCCTACAGCACACACTCCTCCACAATCACAAGCGTAATTGGCCAGGTAAGTATTCTTCTCAAGCGTAATTGGCTGGTCTTGATAAGTTTTCTTGTCCCTTTTAGGCGTAATTGGCGTGAAAAATCATCAAATTTTGAGGTTGTCAATTCTGGGGAGTTTGGGGTTGTGCTTCCAAAGAATTGTGAGTGTGTAGGTCCTTCTCCGGGTTGTTGTGCTTTGAAATTTGATAATCTTGAGGATGAATTTATAAAGGATGATGCTAGAGGCCTTGAAATTCCATAGGGGAGGATTTTTGATGCTTGATTTGGGAAGGAAATAGTTATTTTGGTATAGGAAAGACAATGGAGGAAGGGGTGGGAGACGGAAACTTGGAAATTGATATCCCTAAGCAGGTTCATAATAATTGTTGCCATATGTTATTGGGGAGTGAAGATGGGGCAGATGGAGATTGTTTGTTTGATGAAGTAACTTGGGTTTGATTGAGAGATCTTCTGGTGAAAATGGATATTTCATTAGTGCATAATTCGGGAAAAATGAAGGAAAAATAGTGAAGGGAGTTGAGTAAGGAAGAATAGTGATTTGAGGGAGTTAAGAAATTTAGAACCAGGGGTGAATTATGAGGACAATTGTTCTAAGAGAGTTGGAGGGGGGGAGTTAGTTGTCTTATGAAGATCTTAAGCTAGAATGTGCAAGGACTAGGGTATAGGAAGAAGAAAAGTTCCATTAAGGAGGATGTGATAAAGGTAGATCTGGACATTGTAGTGTTACAAGAGACTAAGAGGGAGGTGTTTTATAAAAGAATTGTCTAATATTTGGGGACTTAGATATAAAGACCGTGCCTTTTTGCCTTCATATGGTAAATCAGGGGGTGTGGTCATTGTGTGGGATATGAGGGTTGTGTTTTCCTTAGAGGTTGGTGGAGGGGTGTTTATTCTTTCAATTCATTTTAGGAGGAATGATGGATTAGAGTGGTGGTTGTCAAGGGTTTATGGTCCGAATAGTAGTAGACTAAGGAAAGATTTTTGGGAAGAGTTAGCGGGGCTTTATGGTTTATATGGCTCCAGGTGGTGTTTGGGGGGAGATTTTAATGTGGTGAGATATGTGATTGAGAAATCATCTGGGGGTAGGATAATTAGAAGTATTGGTGATTTTAATGTTTTGATTAGGAAAAGGTAATGCTTCCTATACCTAGACTAATTTGAGGGAGAATATTATTCTCATTGGAGTGGGAGGAGTGTTTTCCAAATGTGAGACAAGACGCACTAGTTAGAGTTGTTTCAGGTCATTTTCCTATTGTTTCACATTCAAGTGTTTTTAAGTTGGGTCCAGTTCCTTTAGGTTGGTATCTGAGCAAATTAATTAGGGTTTAGATTTATCCTTTTATTTCCCTTCCCCCCCCCCCTTGTTTTTGGTTTTTGCCTCGTCTCTTTCTCTTTTACAGAATCCCAATGGAGGTTCTCAAATTGGGTTGGTTTTTCGTTGGACTGATCATGAAGCTCTTATGGAATGATATAAGTGCTTTGACATTATGGTTGACGCAACACAGGGTTGTATTGGAAAAAAAATGCGTTTGTTGCAGCGTTTAGGTTGTTGTTTGGTTCTGCGTGTTTTCTAGTCATCAAATTCATCGAAATCAATCGAAGTTGCAGCTGAGCTCTCGTTGAGCTGTTTGCTGCATTTCTCTGCTATTCTTCCATGGCTATAACTTCATTAGTTGTTGGAATTTTTCCTAGGGATGGCTGTTGCTTGAATTACTGACAGTGGTAGTCATCATGGATCGCTGGTGTGTTGTTGTAATTGTGGTGGATCCTTGGTGTGTTGTTTGCATGCACAGTGTGTGCTAGGTGTCTGGCGTTTGAAGCGTCGACGGAGAAGACAAACTATTGGGCAAGACTTCAAATCCATGGATCAGGTTCGGTTCAGACTATTTTAAGCCCAAAGGCCCCAAACCTTTTTTTTTTGTACGAGCCGATTACATTGGAGGTCCACCTTAGTTCTCACCCAGAACCCGGTTACTGGCCAACTGGTTCATCCACAGACTGGTTTAGATCTATAGACCAAACTGGTTCAGATAATTTCACCTTTGTATCAGACCGGTTCAGGTATGTTGCTTCTGTTCGTCTTTTTCTTCTCCTTTTTTGGTCTGATCCACTTCCAGGCAGTATTCCAGCACTAGTTTCTTGTGTTGTTGGGCCAGTTCAGTATATCCCAGGGTCGGTTTACTCCGGTTCAGTGTATTCTAGCTTCGGTTGAGTGAATTTCAGTCTGGTTTAGTATATTCCAGTGCTGATTCTATCGGATTCAACCTGGTTCAGCCCTTCTTTGTATGGTTCAAGTTCGATTTTGTGAGATTTTTACGCCTCGACTGCTTTTCCAACTTCCTGTACAGTGCAAGGAACAGCTATAGCTTTTGTTTCTGCCATATGTTTGACTTCTTGTTCATGTTTTTGAGATCCTGTGGCGTTGCTTGATTTAGTAGCGTGCTTTCTACAATTTTAGTGAGTGTTCTTGACCCAGATTTGCATTTTAAGTTGTGATTTTGCACTCTTGATGTTGATTTGGGTATTCTCAGTTGTGGTGTGTGGTTTGTGACTTTAGCTTGTGTGATTGCTGACCCTTGTGGGTTTCTCAATGACGATTTTCAATGGTGGGCTATGGACAAGACGCAATGTGGTGGTCGATCTATGTGGCAGTGTACTTATTGTGGTCGCATATACAATACTGCAGATTATTGTTGGGATAAGTATGACAGACCAACATATGCTAATCAGGGCTTTAAGGATACTCTAGGTCCTCTGCATCAGATTTCTACCAATGGTCCAAAGATCTTTCTTTTCAGCTTTGTCAGCCCAACCAATTGTTATCTTCACTTTCTTCCCATTTATCTGCTCCTATTACTGATCTTGCTGATGGAGGTAACTTTTTATGTGTGGTTTGCTCAATCTCCTTCGTCCTATTGGATCATTGACTTAGGAGCTAGTGCTCATATGTCTGGTATTTCCTCCCTTTCCTCTAAATTTCACTCGTCTAACTCACGTATTGTATTAGCTTATGGTTCCTTAGACTTGTACGTGGGACCGACGATCTCCATCCTACTCAATTTATGTCATAAACTTCTGGTTTGTTTGCTCCTAATTTTCTTTTTAATTTGTCTGTGAGTCAATTAATTAAGTCATTACAGTATTCTGTAACATTCTTTCCCTTCTTATGTGTTTTTTAGGACCTCAAAAACGAAGAAGATGATTGCTTTGGGGCATGAGCACAATAGCCTATACTACTTAGATCTTGGTGTTTTTATTCCAGCCTTGAGTGCTACTATGTCCCCTCTTCAGTGGCACTTTTGAATCAGTCATCCTTTCTTGCAAAAGTTGCGTCAAGTTCTCCCTGGTTTGAGTTCTTATTCTTTGTTAGAATGTGAGACTTGTTAATTAGGCAAACATTTCATGTTGTTTATACAGATATTTGGGGTCCTACAAGAGTCGAAAGGATTTATGGTTTTTCAGTATTTTGTAATCTTTGTTGATGATTTCTCCTGCATGGCTTGGTTATATCTTATGATTGACCGATCTTAATTGCCTATGGTCTTTACCATATACTGAAATTCTGGTTCAGTATGTTGGCATAGCTGGTGTGTCCTGCACCGTTGCTGGCCTCTCAAACGCATCTCCCCCCCCCTCCCCCCCTCGTTTCCCCTTTTCTTCCTTTCCCCTTCTTGTTTGACATTGTTAATTTAGTCTAACTTTTCGCTTTCACAAATCAAGACTTTCCATTCATGTTTCCCGGGAGGACTCTTTCATCGCATTTTACTCACACTTGTGTTCATTCACCTGTTTATATTGTTGAAATTTCTTTGTCTACCAACTCGCATATTTAGGGAGAAGAACATACAACCTGTTCAAAAAAAAGAAAACCAACACTAAAGTACAGACTAGGTTGAGCCCAGAAGAGAACAAAAGCATCATGTGGCAAAAACAGCTATTAAACCAGAAACAGAACATTAACATAGTCAATGTCGGGAGAAGCGATGACCCTGCATGCCCTAAACATTATTATTTTTGTCTTTGTAACAAAGTTGGTAAAAATAATGTAGTACAAGAGAGAGAATCCTAATCAGTATCTTCAGTCACACTCTATCTCCTTTTTTTTTCATCTTCTTTCTTTCATTCTATGAAACATTAAATGTATTATGATATCAGATCATGACTAGTATTTCTTGCTCATTACTGCATGAAGAAAGCGTACTCATTGACATTGGCCAAATAATAGGAGGCGAAAAGGAAGAGTACCATCTCTAGCAGATTTCATCTGAAAACTATGGAGTTGGATCAGAAATTGTTTCATGCATTTTTTTTTGTCATTTCCTTGTGTTTTTAAGAAAGACGTGAATATGAATTTTGGTATTTACTCGCATTAATTCACCTGTGCATATATGAGTAAAAGCTTTGCAGAACGAATGCTTCTCTGTGCTAGTCATTTCTCTTCATAACGAATTTGATAACCTGCATCTTTGTTGGATTTTCTTGTAACCTTAATAGCTCGACCTGTACTGTTTATTTATGTCAACTAAACTCTGTTTTCCCATTATGTTGACTGGTTATTTTGTTTGCGGAATAGATGGATGAGGTGCTGGCTTCAGTTGCCGAGACAATAAAGAACTTTGCAGTGATTTACCTGGTGGACATCACTGAAGTGCCTGACTTCAACACTATGTATGAGTTGTATGACCCATCCACAGTTATGTTCTTCTTCAGGAACAAGCACATTATGATTGATCTTGGCACCGGAAACAACAACAAGATCAACTGGGCTCTCAAGGATAAACAAGAGTTCATTGACATTATTGAGACTGTCTACCGTGGTGCAAGGAAGGGTCGTGGTCTAGTTATAGCACCCAAGGACTACTCCACTAAGTACCGCTACTGAGTACCCTACTCTGCTCCTGAATGGGGTGTCCTAAACTTAGAATTTCCTTTGGATGATATATTCATAGCCGTTTGAAATGAACTGAATATTTCTATTCTGCTCTGTTGTGTCTTGCATATTTGTTAAAAAAATTGCTTGTGGCCTTAGTATTATGGCATGATTGGTGTTAATGCACGCTAGTTGTCTTGACCTTGTCAACCTTGGATTCGCATGGAAGTACATGGTGTAGCTTTGTGCCGTGTAAGTTCAGCTTATGTCTCCTGTTTCCTCCATTCTTTATTCGACATGTCTGTCTGATCGTGTGCATGTTTATGTATTTCTGAAATATGGAGCCTTGCTAATTGCAAGTACTTGCGCTGAAAATAAGATTTTCCAAGGTACATATAATTGGATGACTTCTTTTCCTTACCGATTTGACGAGCTTGCTATAACATATAGTCGGGAGGATGTGGCTCCCATCCAAGGTAAATTTGGGTGCCCTCTCTCTTTACAGAGTGCTGATTCTTGATATGAAGTTATGAATATTCGCATCCACTTTCATTGCAGTTTAATTTTTGTCTGGTATTGCTTTTTGCTTCTAAGAAATGAACAAGGTAAGACCATTTATGATTTTAGCAAATGGTGTTTCTATGGCCTCGCATCAATAAGCTTAGAGGCATTCTCGATTGGAGAGAAGAACAAAATAAAGTGAAAATTAGGGTCGAGTCCTCCTTAAGAGATTTATAACGAGTTTAGTTTGTCAAAAATAGTTATTTAGGCATAAGTTCGTTTTAATCTTATTAATAAGTAGTTAAGATAACTATTTTTTTAAAATTTTATTATACCTTTCTTTGAAAGTAATTTTAAATTAATTTTTTAATTTAGAATTATTATCTTTAATTTCACTATCAATGAAGTTATGTTAATAAATTTTTTATATAAATTTAAAATTTAAATTCAAATTCAAAGAATAATTGATACTCTCTCTCTCTCTCTATATATATATATATGTATATATATTCATATTATTGTTCATGTTTTTATTTTTGTGAGTATATTTCTATTTTTGTTGGGCATATTATTGTTCATTGTTGTTTTTTTTGATCATGTTATTATTGTTATTTTTGAAAATATAACCTCAATGTTATTATTTTTTTATTTTTGAATATTTATTATTTTTTTTGTGTTTAAATGTTACTTTTTTTTTGTTTAAATGGTACTATTTTTTTGTTTGAATGGTACTATTTTTTTGTTTAAATATTACTTTTTTTTTTTAAATGTTACTATATGTAGTTTAGCTTCTGGAGATAGAATACTCATTACTTTATAATATACTCTCTAGGTAAAAGTCATTATATCTGTTCCTTAAAATTATATCCATAAGTTTTAATAGGAACATATATAATGATTTTTACTTATAGAGTATATTATAAAGTAATGAATACTCTATCTCCAGAAGCTAAACTACATAACCATAAAGGTCAAACTACTTTAATTGAAACCAATATGATTAAAAATAAATTTGAAATTCTTAAAACTATTAAATTGTCAGAAATCCAATTTTTAGAAACACGGACAATTAGAATCTGTGATTTCTAAAAAATCAGAAATAAATGAAAAAGTAACACACATAGTACCAATCATCTCAGGGTGATGTAATGATAAGATTTGCTAGAAATAATTTTTCGCGATTAAAAATTTTCAATAAGTGAAGCACTTCATCAGTCTATACTCCTAGTAGGAGATCCATTTCTTCTATACCAGATAGAAGAAGGGGGAAAAACCTACAATGAGGGAGTTAGAACCTCACATAATTATATTTCACATGGAGTATATAGACAAGATAATAAATCTTCCTAAAGAAGATCAAGATCCAACTCTATTTGA